CCCTGCTCGCACTGGACGGTGGCGGCCCCTAACGGGAAAGACCCGGTATTCTGTGCCACTAACCTCCAGGAGGTGGCGCCGTCTATTCGCAGGAACGCGTCACGTGCGCTGAACATGGCCGCTGCTTTCGGCGTTGATAGAATTCACGCCTGATTAGCGGCAACTAAGCCTCTTGAACTAGATTGCATGCATGACTGATTAGCTAGTGTCAGTCTGCATTATCGTCATAACATGGTCAATGCTATAGCCCTATGTTAACATTAACGTTTTGCAGTCACTGCACGATCACGCCAGCTAATTAGGATCCCCTCGATTAATCCTTACCAGCCAGCACCCTATTATTGCGACACTCGGCAGCCATCTTGACTGCGGCAGCCATAACTGCGGCCACGTGCGGCTGCATTGATTGCCTCTGGTTGCCAGGGGCAACGCTGTTCAATCAATGCCTCCGCTTCGCGTCGCTAGGCGATCGCGTCGCGTCGGGGATGGGGGAAGCCTTGTAACAGGGTCGTTACACTTATATAGCCCTTAGATTCACCTACATTTTCTATTGTTGAACATTAACTACTGTGGCCATGTCTGATTAGGTCTTAATTTGCTGAATTTAATTAAAATTAGTGTAAAATACTATTAATTAATATGTGAAAACGATTGAAATTGTGACAGTTCAGCTCTGCTTGGTAAACCAGCAGTCTCAGCTGTATAACTCAGCAGTCTCAGTCTCAGGTGAACTGTTACATTTATATTTTCACAGCTGGGCCTAATTATATTTCGTCGTGCTGTCTTCACAAAAAGGAAGAAACAAAAGGTAACAATGAGAGCGAAAAAGGTGCCACTGAAAGATATGGCTGAGGTACGTACCAGATGCAACTCATTACAATGTATAGTACTGTCCTGAGTGTAGGGCATGAGAAAAGCATGAGTGTAGCATATGAGAAAATAATTGGTTATATAAGGCTTAACAGATGGCAGATTGTCTATATTTGATTTGTTTCGTCATATTTCCTCTGTTTTCTGCAGAGTTAATTATTTAACTTGCATTCCTAAATAAATTAAAGTAGAAGATTATGATTTGGTGTGGTTGGCACTGCCAATGGCAGGAGGTCACAGAAGTGGTGTGTGCCTCATTCCCTCGCTATGAAGGTATAAAATTGACTTTCCATTTATAGCAACTGTGGCCAAGGACACAAACAGAGCGCCTCCTCTCAGACATGTTTAGTGGCAACACTGCCAGGTTTCTGGCTGTGCTGGAGACCCTTACTATCCCCAGACGCAGGGTTCTTAACGTGCTGCCACCTAGTGGGCCACCGGAGGACAAGGAAGTGTGGACTGAACTATTCTTTGCTGCAGTACATTTACTAAACAGTAAGATACATACTCTTTACCATATCCTTTTAATGTTATATATCTTGACATGTGCAATGTTTACGAGCAAAATGTTCATTTTTTTCTTCTAGACAAGAGTGAAGGAATATTTTTGGAACTTGGTGCTCTTGAAATTGGAGCACTTAACGATGACCTTGTTTATAAAGGTATACTCTTAAGAGCATCTTTTTGTGTATGAGGTCATCATAATAGCATTTGTACTTTCTTTCAAGGTTCAGAAAAAATTGTTTTTAAAGTGGGTAAGAGCAATATTTTGCCATTATTTTTGTTTCTCTAAGAATGAGTAGATAGTTTTTTAATATATATAATTCTAATAGTTTTGATAGTGAGCTGTTATTAAGACCATAACGTTGTTAATTCTTAACATTGGCTTATCCCATTGCACCTTGGCTTTTCATTTGCCTTCGTTTTCTCCCATTAGAGTTAACCTGAAATTTTCAGTGACATTACCCTATTTTTTAATCCTCACAGGGTGTAATGGCGTGTCCGTCAGTAGCTTGATGAAATTGATCGAACTTCTGTACAGCTACCATGAGTGGGAACACTTCCACACTGTTGCTTTGAAAACTCGTGACGTCCTACGACTCACAGGCACTCATAGCAACCATGTTGTCATTCTTGACATCTTGATCATCATGGCACCAGAACGTGAAACGAAAGGAAGTACCGAACCAAAGAACAGCCACCAAAGCATGATGGGCAAGTCTCGTACAGTTGAAAATGGTAGGTCGTTTTTTTTTAATTGCCCTCCCCCGTTTTTTCCTTTTACTCTCCTTGAATGCCAAGACCCTACCTTTTTGCTCGTGGCACCCTGTCTCTGTGATTTTCACTTGCTCCCTCTCTCTTCCCCCCTCTTTATCTCTTTGTCCCTCCCTCTCACTTTCCTCACACTATGTCTTACTCCCCACATGTATTCATATCTCACCCCACTCTTCAGTGTGCATGCCCACACGGTTGCATGCACATTTGTTACATTGATGTTTATCACGTTATAACCAGCTAATCCATTGCTGCGTAAATTGGCCTAATCGTAGCTGTTGACTGTTTGTATTTGTCAGCCCAAGAGTTTCGTCTAGAAGATCGAGGTGAGAAACTAGTGGAAGCACTCCACAGAACGGTTTCTCACGCTGTCAGTGAGATAGATTCCGACATCGTCATTGATGCAACTCTGTCTCTATGGAGGGCGGTGGAGAGAGAGTATCTAAATGTCACGTGGGGTGCAAAACTCACAGAGATGCAAGAACTGGTGAGATAGAAATGACAACCTCACTGACTGCATAAATATCTTTTGTTATTCCCATTATGTGTGAGATTGAAATGTTAAATCTGGAAATGAAGTCATTTATTTAATATCTTTATTTTACATCTATAGGGTAAGATTTGAAAATTGAAGTATTAAAACTGTATAGGTTATGTCACCTATGTTGAGAAACTAAATTACTAATACCCTGAAACACTCAACAGGTATTGGCAGCACTGGAGGCAATACATTGTGTATTTTCATGGAGAGACCTAGCCTACATAGACCCTGTGCTAACCTCTGTTGTTGCATTATATTTTGGTCTTGCCCTGGAGGCCTCTGCTATGAACAGTTCTATTAGTAAGTATCTTCTTGGTTTGTTTAAAATTGGTGGATTCTTGTGTAAAAGTGTTGAAATATAATCTCTAAATATTTGGATGCATCCGTTTGACCTGTTGCAGGTATGAGTAGGGGATACCATGTGAAAGCATGCAAACTTGTCAGTGCTGCTCTCAAAGATTTTCAAGAGATAGATAAGCCATTCAAGACCCATGTCACTCTGATCTCAGATCAAACAGTCAGTGGTAGAGAAACCATAAAGGACTTGCACCTGGTGTTGGTTGAAGCTTACTATAGGATATCAGTGAAGCTAGCACACCTGCCACCTGGTAAGTTAAACATTTATTACACTTTTTGTCTGACTGTTACTTGCGTAGGAGTAAATAACACCATATGAATATTTATGAAATACAGAACACTTCTGCCAAACTTCTTGCCACATAACTAAGATCGAAGATGATGTCATGTAAGCTCACAGTGTGTAAAACTGTCAAGAAATTGATAAAAGAAATTCTTCAATAATTCCAACAAATAGGATAACTTATTAAACGAACTAAGTTGTGACAATAAAATACATGAACCTTTCATCTTGAGTGTGGTGAAACAACTGGCCAAGAACTATGCATTTCTATGAACAAAACATTTTAGCTACTGTGAGCAAATCGGGGCATTACTGTACATCATCATGTAACTTTACTGTACATCATCATGTAACTTTACTGTATATCATCATGTAACTTTACTGTATATCATCATGTAACATTACTGTATATCATCATGTAACTTTACTGTATATCATCATGTAACTTTACTGTATTCTCATGTAACTTTACTGTATATCATCATGTAACTTTACTGTATATCATCATGTAACTTTACTGTATATCATCATGTAACTTTACTGTATATCATCATGTAACTTTACTGTAGAACCAGCGGTTAGTGGAACAGCACGATTCAGGCGTGACTGCCGTACCGGAGGTTTAGACCAGCAGCTCCCCCTGGTGTTGCCACGTACAATGTCTGAGCTGAGGTGGGAATGTGGAAGCTGTCACCTTCGCCGTGCCATCGTCTGCTTGGCTGATGCTGCAGAACTCATGAAGACTGGTGCAGTGGCAGATGCTCGAACTCTTATGGAGGTTTACCTACTTTTGTTCTTGGGCATGTGTGTTGTAGTCGGCGCATGTTTTTTTTAAGAACATTTTTTATGGAATTTCTAATGGTGTGACCAGGAACGGTGTTCAGCATTTTCAGTGGCAATAACTACAGCGGGTCTCATTATGAAGCTTGCGGATAATTCAGCATGAGGGAAGATTGGAAATCACACGATGTAATCAATCAAAGCGGACGAGACAATGTACGTGTATATGTCCGTCGTTAAAACGAAGCAAATTTACGTAACACAAGGCCTTTGTTTGATTTTCTTACTGCAGGATGTGGTGGGTCTTATGAGACAAGGTCAGCAGATGGAGACAAGACTGAACAGAGATGAGAGTAATTGTGTGAGTGACAATGTTGTCCCCCCACCACCAACCCTCATCAACAGAAGTGCCAGCAGTGCAACATTTCTTCCTGCAGCATGGATCAAATCAGAGCTGGTACAATATATAATATATAAAATAAAAATCAATATTAATATTGCATAGTGTGACCACTTAGAGGCATCACCAGAATCTATGTCCTTGTTCAGATATCACTGATGGAAGTGTCTACTTCTACCATTACTGTGGCTCTTTGTGCAGATTTATTGTTAGGGCGTCATGTAAGATTTCTCATTCTCTCTCTCTCCATTCGTCACTGTAACAGCAAGTAAGAAAAATATCGTTATGTAGGTGGCATGGTATCAGCTATTTGCAAGGTCAGCAGAGGGCAATATGGTAAAGGCTAGATTCAGTGACTACCATTTTCCAGGGACAGGAGTCATGGTAAGGCTTATATAGTTTTTTTTTATCATTCCATCAAGAACATTGTTTTCAAAGTTGGATATTTACTGAGAAGGTTGGAATTGTTGCTTCTTACTATTTCCCAGTTGGATGTGAAGATATAGATTTGTGTTCATGTTTAGGTTGCAGCCGGCGATGACTGCAGGCTGGTAGTATCAAGGCTGCAAAGCAACGAATCTTATGTGTTTGCTGTAGCAGCATATGACAAAGACAGGAAGCTGATTGGTGGAATAGGCAAGACCTCTCAGTCAATCCTCATTTCTCAACCGCTCTCCATCCTGCCCTTGTGGGCATCTGTTGCGCAGGTGCGTTAATGAAAAAGGTTGGACGGTACCAATTAAATGTGTAATGAACGAATCAGTATTAATGATGGTGATTAATTTGATTAGTAAGACTAATTTCTTGCTTCTTTGTGAAAAAAGAGTTGCATTTCAAGGATCTGTAGAGAAATGATTGTATCTTTATGATACAGCTTATTCTCTATTATGTATCTGTTACAGAGAGCCTACTTAGTTGGCCATCAGAAAGTGGCAGAAATAGCGTGCAACATTCTGTGGTGCCACTTTGTTGAGACACAAGAACTACAAGATGATGAACGAAAGCTGCAACATTACAAGTTCGTAATTACATGCTGACTATCATCCATTCTGGTCACATTGAAATGCGAGCTTAATGTCCACTTGGTATTGAAAGATGTTGAATTTCTGTTGACATTGATCGACGATACCATGAACACATTTATAGCCATAGCCATATATAAAAATAAAAGATACGTTCATGATTATACTGACAAAACAAATTTTTTTTTTTCTGCACGTAATCCAATACTGATAACGTGCAGGCTACGTAAGGCAGCAGTCACTCAGGCCTCTCCTATCTTGCTGAGGTGTTTCCTCAGTACCATATTCATCAATGCTGATGTTGCCAAAAAGCATGCTTCTGCCCTCCTGTCTAGTGGTTTCTCACCTTACAATTCTCAGGTACATTTATACGCAACTAAATATGTTTATATGTAAAGACATTCACTATTTAAAAAACAATTATGTGTTAGGTTAACGGTTAGCTGTTGTTGAAGTCGTTAATGTTTGTAACACAATTATGTGGAAATATATTAGAATATAGGCTAATATATATGATATTTTCACTCATGAAATATGAATTTGAAAAAAAAGAACCACATGCATGCATGCATATAATTTAAATATAAATTGCGTTACGTGTGAGCTAACGGAATACATAATATCTTAGATAATACGGATCAGGGGAGCTGAGAGGCTGGCAGTAGCTATTGAGTTGGCCGACCGGCTTGGTCGTCTGAATGATGCCACAGAGGCAGCGGTGCAATGCTACTCAATGCTCGAACCTTTCCTGCAAGACGCCATAGCATCCCCGGCTCTATCACAACTCATGCACCGATGTGTGTGTGTGTTTCAATCGGTGTTGGGTAGTAAAGAGGCAGGAAACAATTCCCCACTACAACTACTCCTCCACAGACTTGCTGCTTCATCCAGTATGTATCTGGAAAAGGTATGAATAAGTCAGCAGCAGAGAAGACATAGAATAATGGTGGTGCCAATAAGGAGTACTGTATACCAGTATCTACATAGATCATTACGGTAGCGATAAAATCAGGGTATCTTTCGTGGAACACAAAGGTCCTGTCAAGGTTCTGTGACAGTTTTGGTGATTGTGAGTGATTGCTTCCACCCTCTCCCATCCCGGTGTAATCGCTTCTGCAGATGTATGAGATGGAGGGTCAGCGTGAGGTCGCCGTGTCTGTGCTGGTAGTTGGCAGAGACCTGCTCTCTCCGGCCGTCAACAAGCTTCAGAGGTTAGAGTCGTCTGACGTGGACATTCTCCTGCCAGCACTGCTTGACTCTTACAGTGTACACGTCCAGGTGAGCGTTACCTGTTCTCTCCATTGCTAAAACCGGCTGGTAACGCAAATAGCCATTACTTTTGCTGTAAAGAATCAAGAGGTCATTGCTTCGATCGTTGTTCACTGTGGTAATGTTTAGTAGTACAGTGTACATGCAGTTTCATATAATAAATTTGGTTTAAACACTAACAAGTTCTAAGTTAGTGCTTAGAAAATGCAGTAATTTACTATATATCTAAATGAGACATTACATGTGAAATTTAGTATATGTCAGTTTAAAACATCAAATTAAATTTTACCTTAAATACGTAATAAAAAGTTAGTATACTCTACAGTCAATCTCTGACAACTTCCAGATTCCAGTGAGCGAAAAAATCAAGATACGCTCAAAAGTGAAAAGTCCATCTAGGGGAAAGAGTAAGCCAGTGAGCAACGGTGAGATGGGTGAGAGTGCAGCTCTGGCGAGATGCCTTGAGGCACAGCTGCTGACACTACTTGGTCCAGTGCAGGGTGAGATCAATCTCACAGGTAAGAAAGCTTTGTACGCATATGTAGCGTTACACATATACCATGCACTGTTCGCGATAGGTTCAAATTTGAGAGTAGTCAGGCACTGCTTCCAATAAACTATGCAGATAACATATTCACGAGAATGTGAAAATCTGCCGTTTTGCAGGTGCTGAAGATGCGAACGTGCTCTCCCTGTACATCTCTCAATACCCGCCTGCAACTGCTTACAAAGAGCTGCTAAAGTTCAAGAAGAAAGAGCGATTCCTTGAATTCTTCTGTCGTCTCCTACAGCGGGCGCTGGCAGACGGAATGCATGCCGAGGTGGCCACGTGGTGTGAAGAAATGCTCAGCTGGTTGGCAAGGTAGAGAGTCAACTCTAGCGTTCTCCAACTCTCCTTGTCTCTTTCTCTCTTTTTCCGTGTCTTTCTTAATCTATCATACTTTCCCTCTCTCTCTCTCTTTCAAGCCTGTATTGATATCCTTGTTTTATGTACATGCTATCCTAGATGATTCGCTACATTCGATAAAGTACGTGTGTTTTATTCTTCTCACCAACAGTCATAATTCTGCTTCCTTTGTATATCTACTCTGCTTGCTTTTTGTATTGTTTTTATTTTTTCTTGTCAGGAACAAAGCTGTTTATTTTCTGCTTCTTTATCACTCCCAACTTTCTTGCAGGCTCCCTGCCTTGGGTCCATCCCTTGTATGTCAGTACGTTAACGTTTTCTTTCTTCTCTACCCTGGTCACACTGGTTTTATCATCATGCCCTAACATTCATATTTTCAAGAGTTTTATTCGCCTCCTGTATGATAAAGTTGTCTCATTCTCTCTCTCTCATTTATCTCATAGGAGAAACAAACATCTTCTAGGAAGCCGACGTTACCAGGAGCCGGCTGTCAGGATAGATGCAAGCACTAGGAAATACAATAAAGCATTGAGCAGCTACATGAAGAACCAGAGAGATGCCGGATCACACGCACAGATGCTAGCGAGACCCACAGCCAAGAAGAAGAAGCACATGATGCTAGTGAGGCGTTCCATGTTGCTGGCCAGTGACCATGAGAGACAGAGACAGGAGGAGGCAGAGATGAAGGCAAGAACAAGGGTCCTTGTTCACTGCTTTGTTTATCAATGTTGTTTTCATTCATAACTTACCTAAAGTAGTCACTTAGATGTTAATAAAAATAATGTTAATAATGGTTATCTGTGTAATTCTTAGATTTTTGTGATTTTTCAGTCATTCTCTATATTGGAGAGGCTTGTGCCAGACTTATACAGGGCTGGAGTTCGTGTGAAAAAAATGAGGTTCATAAGTATGAAGGAGCGTCCATGGAGAGCCCAGGTAAGATATTTACACCATTCACCAATCAGATTTCCCATGGCTTTGTAAACTATATATAGTGTTTTAGGGCAAGTATTAGCTAAATAATCAATTTGCGAGTAAATCTATTATTGGGAACGAACTAAAAATCATCAAACATTTCATAATTTTGTCACTGTTTACTGGATGTTCCAGATAAATATGGTTGCTGGCTTGGCTCATTACAACGTTCTACAGATTAAAATGCAGCAGCTGTATCCAGCTAGCACTCGACTGAATAAGGTAGAGTGAAAGAAAGCACTACCCTATTTAATACACACATGAGACCACACACTGTATCTAATGTATCGCACAACTGTTTATTGCAGTTTTGCAATATAATTTAATTGGCATGGTATTGATGCATGTTTACAATTCTACATCTGAGTGCTATATCCTCGTAGCATATAGAAGTCAGGGAAGCAGGAAAGCCAAACAACATGGCAATCCTGATCTTTCCTCTGAGCCTCTTTCCTTATCTTCAGGTCTATTCGATATTTCCACCGGGACTATGTGGTCTGAAGTCTGGGGTGTGGACTGATGCACCCTACCCTCAGGTGTGTACTCCTGCTGCACCCGGATGGCAAGCCAGGCTCAAGATGGTGATTGATCCATTTTGTGGTAAGTATGCAATCTAGCCTATACATCCATACAACCAGCCTAGCCAAGGTAAACTTTAACATGGGAAGCATCAGGTAAAGAAAGGCGGAGAATGGGGAGAGATTACTAACAGGTCACGGTGCAACCTCCACAAACCGTGTGCAAACAGACGGTTTTCTGCCATAGACAAACCCGTGCAGTCAGCGGCCCAGAAGGCATCCTCTCATGAAACCTCCCCAACGAAGCCTTCATCCCCGGCTAAAAGCTATGACAAGTCATCGCAGCCACTAAGGGCGAGTAAGACACCCGTGGTGCGATCTCCACGACCGTACAGCGACCAGGCGTGGGTGAGCGCTGCACTGCGTGATACACAGGATGTCTACGGCTGGGAGGAGCAGCTACTAAAGACGTTCAAGTGCTTTGAAAAGGCAGCGGTAAGCTGAAGAAAAAGCTATCATTTATACAGGCACTATAGGAGCCCACATGAGTCTTATCTAAGTTTTATCGAGTTTCCCGATGTAATGTAAAGTTATCAGGTTGGTAGTAGTTGAGATTAAATTATTCTTGCATATTCATGTCTTCCTTACTGGCAGTTTCGTTAACCTACAGGTTCTCGCGTTCAGAGGGCAGCACTGGGTACTTCTGCATAATGTCTTCTCAACCATATGGAACCAGCTGAACTGGTTGAGACTTCACACAGAGAACGTGGGCTGCCCTATCAATGGGGCCATGCTGCAACGTGCAACGTGGCACTGCCTGAACGTAACTGTCGACTGTATGTTGGAAGCAGTACTGCAGCGAGATTCCCCACAAGTGCAGGTTAGGATGTGATACTCATGCATGCGTTCACACACATTCACATGCACGCAGTCATGTCCAGCAAGTTTAGGAGAACAATATTGCAAATTTATGTAGACTTGGCATCGTCAAGATGAGCCATTCCCATGGGGTGTCGTCCGTCGTACGTCCGTCCGTCCGTCCGTCCGTCAACATTTGGCTACGGTCAACGATAACTCAAGAACGTTTTGACCCACATGTTTCAAATTGCATATAGTTGTTACTCCTATGGGAGAGGGTTGAACGTCCTATTTTGGAGCACGCCAGTCGACCTACTTTCGAGCCATGTCCACTTTTTGGCAAAAATGGAAATGGCCATAAGTCAGTTCAGGTTTAATGGATTTTGCTCATTTCTGGTATATGAATGAATGTGGACTGGCCCCAAAACATATCACACGGGTTTTGATTTTTTTTTTAATTATGCAAATTAGGTAGATTTTGTCAATTTCACTATGCATTTTAGTGTCTGCTTACGGTCAACGATAACTCAAGAACCGTTTGACCCACATGTTTCAAATTGCATACAGTTGTTACTCCTATGGGAGAGATTTGAACAGCCTATTTTGGAGCACGCCAGTCGACGTACTTTCGAGCCACGTCCACTTTTTGGCAAAAATGGAAATGGCCATAAGTCAGTTCAGGTTCAACGGATTTTGCTCAGATCTGAAACATTTATTTTCGCATCAAAACTTATGCATATATTATTATCAAGAATATATAATGGGAGATATGTTATATAATGGGAGTTCTCCCATATATACTCTTGCTTTATATACCCCCCCCCCTCTTCTATCACACTCAAGGTGAGCTACAGTGTCATTGACACTTTCATTAAGATTCTTTTTTCAACTCTTGAAACTTTTGTAAGACTGAGGAGAGTGAGACAACTGGAGCTAGCCTGCGATGTGACAACAGGCTGGATGGTGTTGCCTCTAACAGAGCGATGCTCGAGCAGGCAGCACTACTAACGTTGGAGATGCTTCATGAAGCAGAGAAATGGGAAAAGCTGATACATCTAGCACTGATGTTCCTCGCCTGGTCTGGGTATCATCATTTACTGCTCATCATTTGATAAGTAATGCATCAACTTGCTATGTGAGATGTATCATTCAGTATTACAGTATCATGCAGTAAGCTTTTAAAAACTAAAAACATTGATTGAAACAATATATGTAATGTATGAAACCTATTCATACTATATAGTAGTATAGTACATGATAGTATGGCTGAGAGGGTCTATGTCCCCCAGGGTACTGCCGGAACGTACCCTGGTACTATCTAATATGCCGGACCGTACCTCGCCTACTCCACTAACGAGTCTAGGGAGTCGCCTATGCCTACTCCCTAACCCTAACCCTAAACCTAACCCTAACCATATCAGATAGTTACCAGGGTATGTTCCGGTATACCGGACCGTACCCAGAGTACGTTCCGGCAGTACCCTGGGGGACATAGACCCTATGAGCGATAGTATGGGTATATAATATAATGATATATTTGTACTGTACAATAGTGAAGAACCTATTTCTCTAATAATCTTCCTATACCTTTTGGCCTTTATAGGGATAGGTTTGCGACACAGGTTGTGCCACTTGTCTCCCACTCACAGCATGCACTCAGGGAGAGAATCGGGCAGTTTGGTGGCCCTTTACCTCAGCCACATCTTGCAGCACTAGGTCCTATAACTCCCATCCAGTATCGCGTAACGCAACTAAGAGTTACAGGTGTTCTGAAGTCAGAGGCCGAAAGAGAGGGGATAATGAGTTATGAGAGCGGCGTTGGTAAGTAATTCAAGGCTTAAAAGCAGTGGAATGGACAAGTATATAATTGTGAATTCCTGGTTATCAGTATTTCTGACAAATTTTGTTGACATACATTTTTCCCAACAACAACTGTATGTACTGTACAAAAAGGTGCTTACTGTTGTGTTCGGGATACGCAGCTGAATACGGATTATTACCTAAAGTCTTTATAAACAAAACAAGTAAAGCTACATATGGTTTCAATTTCAAGTCATGCAATCCCCGGAAGCAGTTTGTTGTCATGCATTCCGGAACTTCTGGTTAATTACATTACTAATTACATTACTAATTACATTACTAATATGCAGTATCGAATAGTATTGTGACACTTACATAAACCGTTGTCATAGCTGTACAATTACTTACCTTTTGTTTGTCTAAAACAATGTCCTTTACACTCCGTTGAGAGACTCATAGCTATCAAGCTTCATATCACCTGAATTAACATTATATACATAATATCAGGAGTGAATAATAATAGATCTATTATTATTCATTCTTGATTATATTATCCATCCTTATCTTCTACTGCCATATGCATTCACAGATGGGCTGCGACTGGTCAGTGTGCCATTGGAATTAGCTGATACTGTTCAGATATGCAAGACTGCAGACCCTTCATGCTCACTCATGAAAGCAAGGAATATGCTAGCATCTTACCTTGACCAGCAACGAAAGCTAGAGCATGATCTTCAGCAGGACCATCAGGTGACACTTTCTGAGGTTATAACAGCATATGAAGAAGCCGTGGGGACGATCAGAGCTGCAGGCAAACCAAGTCTTCTTGCTCAGGCGCTTCATGAACTTGGAAACTTGCATTTTTATCGTGACAACCTCAGGTATATGGAGTTCATTGTTAGCCAATAGTTAGGTCTTGTATTTCTTACCATGCAGTCTATATATGTTATTGGGGTTTATGGCTTGTTTTATTTATTTGATGCAGGTTGTTATTGCATAATAAATAAATTAATTCATTGCGGTTTTTCGTTACATCAGAGGGGCGTATGCTTGCTGGGCAGACGCAGCCGATGTATTACTAAAGAAAACTGACGTCATCAACAACTGGAGGATGTGTCTAACAGCTGAAGAGCTCGGTGGCGCAGCCCTATTGGCAAGATGTGGCGTGTGGGGGTGCCTGCTTGCCGGAATCTTGGTGACAGATGTGGCTCGATACGTACTGAAGCTAGGACTGGCACTCAGGACAGAGACTTGTCTGCTCGCTGCTGCACTATTCAGGGTAGGTTTGCTACACCTCCGTCGTAAACACACACACACGTAGCCTACAAGCCTACGTAGCCTATCATCAGTGCTTATACACTTTGCGTATAAAGTGTTATTCTAACTATCTGATCATACGAAGAGAAGTAGAAGTGTTAATAAATCACAGTTTGAATATGACGTAAGTGAAAAGCCATTATCCATTGTGCATGTCCCATGTGTATGCTATACAGCGCATTTTATTGCACCTGTGCAGGCAGTGTTCGGTGCAGCTCTGCCATGTCTGAGGTCAGATGAGGAGTTTGTGAACGCTGCAGGAGGCAGTGTTGATGCAGTGCCCAGCATAGAGCTGCTCAGTGACCACGGACGGTGCAACCCTGCTACACTAGTTACCTGTCTCATGTGGCTTGGAGACGAGCTAACCAAGAGCCACCACTTTGTAGCGGTACCTTAACATAAGTCTATTATAATTTTCTATTGTAACTTAACAAGTGCCTAAGCTATGTATACATATTGTGGGGTTAAAGTTGATAATAGTTTTGTAATAGCCATATATATTAGATTTGTGTCTATATGCATTGCATGTCCCTGGCCAGGTGATCGTGGCACACACACGCACGCACGCACGCACGCACGCACGCACGCACACACACACACCCACATAGGTGTGTGCAGGCACATAGCCCTGCATCTTGGTGTGTGATTCGAACACTCAAGTGCCATCTCAACCGAGAATGTGTTGTATATTTTGCAGGTGATCCCAGTGCTACTGCTGCAGGAGAGCGTGGCGAGGAGGCTGCAACTGTGGTGTGAGTGGGCTGCTGGGCAGACAACGCTGGTGAGGGTTGTGACAAACCTCGGACGGTACTGCGACGCCGTCATCATTCTCCACCGACTCTTCAATCCACCGCTGTTAGCAGACACTCCTGGCGCTACACACACACCAAGATTTCACAGGGAAGCAGCATTTAACAACGTTGACAATATTGAGGTATTGAAATTGTAAACGTTCAGTCATTGCTGCTGGATGGATATGTGGCATGAATTAATTAAGTGAAAGGCCTTGTGCATTGAGACGTACCCTGATTCTTCCCTTGTTTTGCGTTTGCATTCATGGGCGTTTTCTCGTTTGTTGTTGTTCGAAGACAATGAAATCTCTCACGTCTCGCCATGTGCCGCTGAGGCTGGCAGAAGCTTATGGATGCGTGGTGTCGTGCAAGCTTGTCATGGCTCAGGTGCTGGTGGCACAGTCTGTGGCTCCTACTCTTACAGCTGTCACCCACCCCGTGGAAAGCGAAGGTCTCGGTGAGCTGTCATGCGGTAGCAGGCCGGCAACAGCAGACAGCATTAAAGGTGAATATGTGCATGTCAGTTCAGAAGACTGACTGGAGAACATGTCAATGTGATGAATTCATGAATTCTGCAACTAAATGAACAGATAATCACAGTCTCCAGTTTATAAGGTGGCATTGGAGAATTGTTTGATATATTGCACAGACATTCACCTACTCACGCAGTTACCACTGAGGGTTGAATTATTCGATTTTTGTTAGTTGAGTTGCCATTCGATGTTGTTACGCAGAGCCGACAAAAGGTGAACCACCAGCTAAAGGATATGTGTGTGAACACATGAGGGTAGGCAGTGAATCCAACATACAGGCTATTCTTTTGGAGGCTGCTGTGTGCAAAATGACTCAGCTAACACGACTGCTGTGTGAACAGTTTCTAGGAGGTACATATCATATATACCAGAACTATTGTACCAATCGCTCCTGTTTTCAGCCTCTCCCCTGAATATATCTCTTCCACTCACTCCTTATGTCACCTATACTCTTCATATACTCTCCCCTTTACCCTAAACGTGCAGCTTGACTTCTCAGAATGCATGGAATATATAGAGTAGGTTCACGCATGAAAGACTATAATGGCGTTATATTGTTAAAGATGGCAGATTTCAATATCGTGTTGTGCAACTGTTATTTCAGACTCTGTGGTTGAGGTGGAACTCCAGACAGAATGTTGGCTACAATTGGTGCAGCTACATCTTCAGCTTAGGCATGCTCCCATTGCCATGCAGTGTGCCTACAATAGCATCAACACTCTTAGGAAATATTCACCAGAATCTGCAAGCACAAGGTGATGATTCCAGAATGGGGGTCGTAATCACGTTGGAACGTACATGGAGGTCAGCGTACCATACATTAAATATCTCAATACATTAATGATTATCCATATATGCGAACGAAATTCTTATACATGGATTTTCAGTGCCTCACATTTTTCCTTTTGTTCAGAGCTGTGGAAGAGACACACAGTCACACATCGCTCAGCCCAAGACTATGGCTTTACTGCCGCTCTCGTCTGCTTTGCATCCTCTGTGATCACACTGCTGCCAGCACAGCTTCAGCAATACAACAGCTGGCGACGGCGGGAAGCAGGGAGGCTGAGGTGCTCGGTGATGCGGAGACACAGGCTTGGTTTCTTATGCATCTCGCACTCACGCAGCATGGTGAAAAGGCTGCGCTGTCGCTACAAGTAAAGTTATTAATGTTTAATTTAGTGTTATAATAATCATTATTATTGATTGATTTTGAGTGTGTCACACTCTTGTATGTAGAGACCATAATTTATTACTCATTATTACAGGGAAGAAAATAAAACGTTTTCGTTTTTGTATGCACTCAGGAGGCCACTGCCATTCTGGCCACCGTGCAGCAACTGTCGTCCACTGGTCAGCTGCTGCTGGTTCTGTTGACCACGATAACGCTGGCAATGATGACTGGTAGAGCTACAACCCTTGACCAGCTGAACACTGCCTGTCAGGTGTTAGAGAAACTTCAGGAAGAAGTGCTACTTCCAGACACGAGGAGGTGCCTGGGTAACCTACATCTGCTGATGGGACATAGTCTGGCAACCTCTGAGCAATGGTGAACCTGCTTTTGGCTATGGAGTTTATGGATTAATGAACAATTTCATTAAGCATAATATAACGTTTTCATAAGATAACACTAAAATATACAATGTGCAGGAGTAAGAATATGCAAGGATGGGAAATTCCACAATTCCCGTAACAATGAGACGTGGTCTCGCCACAATTAATGTTCCTCCTCACCATATAGCAATGTACAGGATGCGACTCACCATCTGAAATCTGCACTGAACATCGCAGAGGAGGCAGGCAATTACTATATGTTCTCCTTCACATCCTATCACTGGGGCGTGCTGAAGGGATCGCGGCAGCGGCAGCAACAGTGTCTGCAGGCAGCTGTGAACAACCCCGCACTCCTCCCTGTCATTCAGGCGGCGCTCCGACACATGGCTGTGGCAGACACGCACACGGATGCTCCTTACCCAGAGGTATGAAAGCAGCCAAGTGCGCATGTGCATGCATGCCTGTGTAGGTGTGTATGTACGTCAGTATGTATGCGTGTCTGTAGTGAAATGTATATTCTTTATTAGATTTGAGGTGTAAATACATTGATGAAACATTAGTGATCAGGTCCCCCCTCGATATGTTGTCAGGCTGGTCAGCCAGGGATTGTCTTCGCTGAGCTATCAGCACTACATAACGTGAACATTGCCTGTGACACTCTGAAGCAGCTGATTGGCTTTGGGGTGGATGATGTCATCAATGCTGATGCACTGCCAGAAGATATTCTACTCAACATCCTGGCAGAAGATCTTGGTATGTGTCTGCTAGACAATCTTAAGCCAACAGTCTCACCACAGCCAGATATGAGCATAAGGTGATGATACGTGACGTTACTGAATCTGCAACATGAAATTCTGCGAACGTGAATTTACCATGAACTTTTATTACATATAATTGAAAATATACAAGGCCACGACTTTGCCGTTGCTGCTGTTAACAACAACGTTGCTCTTCTCTGCAGCAGGTACGCAGGAGGTGCAGATGCTGCCTCTCATGTATACTGATGATGGCGGTGGTGGTGGTGGTGTCAGCTCCGTATTTACTCACCTCTGCTCTGCTTTCCCAACTATTGCTGTGGACAGAGTCTGGCGCTACTATCTGAGGCTCCTCCAACATTGCGCACCAACCAGCAAGCTGCTGCCACCTATAGGTATCACATTATTATAAAATGCATTTTAACGTTCAAAGTTAATTGTTCAGAAACAACATTTTTGATTAGTTTAGAGGTTTATTTTTTCTTTAATAGTTGCTTGATGTAGCCATTAGTTTGTGTTTTTATCAGGGACACTTCTAGTGAGTGAAACGGCATGCAACTTACTACTGTCTCTTCACCACTGCCTGATGGAGCTGGTGCCAGCATATGCTGGGGTGAACAGTAAGCTGTATAGATCCCCAGCGATGCAGTACCTGTGTGGCTCTACACGGCGTCTGTGCACGCACGACTACCCGCATTCTTCAGTCTTCCTCTTCTGGTCCAGCAATACGGAAAATCGGTCCAGAGGGGAAGAGGAGCAACTAGTGTTGGTGTGTGCTGGTGCAGGGTCAAATGGAGGGGAGGAGAGAATGGCGAGTGTGGCAGAGAATAGTGAAACGGGAGAAAAAATGACATATCCAGCGACAACCGAGGATGAGAGTGATGATCAAGTTAAACAGAAAGAGGTTTTGTATAAACGTACAAAAGCTAGTGGCAAAGAACAGCAACTAGGCTACTTTCAGTACCAGACTACAGTCACTACACAGCATCGAGCGCAAGCTGTTCAAGTGCTTCGCCAGGTTGGTAGCATACTGCTTGTATTGTTTGATGATGTTTGATCATGTCTTCCTCTTCTTTTGGGAGGAGCACTCAAATACGTGTGTATTACTAACCTTCAGTATTTCCCCTGAAGTCACATCTACGCGAACTAACACAGTTCTTAGATGTAATAAGTCAGCAGTTCTTGTGCCCTACTTCCGGGAAGAATATCTTTCTGTGTGTGTACATTATTAGGCTTCAATATTTTCTCCAACAATCACCTTCATACAAACTAACACCGTTCCTCAGTGTAATGGGTTTTCAGTACTGGCGTGCCGTTTCTTATGAGAGTATTTTCAGGAAAACTCACACAGCCAATAATGCACCTACACATACACCTACAAAGTACTGGTCTATAGTATTATGTATGGGTATGCCTTCAGCTGCAAGTCGAATACAAGAGCATCGAGCTCACGCCAATGACGCAAGAGTGTCAGGCTGAGGAAGCCCCGGGGGATGCCACCGACTCTAGCCTGGCAACTGAACACACTATCACTGTACCTGTGTCGAGCAAAGGATACCAGTCCCCAACAGACAAGCATTCAGTGTTCATGGTAACCATTTTGGTTTACACCCAAGATAAATATAATAGACTGCTATGCAAACTCCAAAATTCCTCTAGTTTACATCTGTGATTTTTCGTTTTGCCGAGTTGATTTACCGAGCTATCTGAAAATTGGAACAAGCAATAACATTATTTTGGACTATTAGGCCGGCTCAATTGCGGTATCTTGTCATCTACACTCTCCGTAATAATGAAATTTCATGTGCAGTTTCGGCACATACATACTATGTGTGGAAAAATAGGTTCCCCTCACAGGTCAGAATAGTATACTTACATTGCATCATTTCCCTCAGGAGAAGCTGGAACCATGTCTTCAGAGTGTAGCGCTGGTTTTGAGAAGACAGCTTCAACACGAGTCTATCGCTATCACACAGGTATCTAACCCCACCTGTACGTTGTGTACCATTCCAGTCTGAGGTTTCACATTTCTCTATATTAAAAATCTAATCGCAGTGATGTTTGACGGTGGGAGGGAATGTCTGCAGTGAATTCTCCTGAATGCAATTGTATACAATGTGCAAATATTCAAATATTTATTTACAATTCTGTTGTACACTTTGAATATTACATCTGATCATTACAAAATTATGAAACGTGCACAACACGGTGCAGTTGTAAATGTCTTCCTGTCTGTGTTCCCTGGGTGTTGCGATTCATACGTAATATGCTGTTGTGCAGTGGTGAAGGTGTTGACAAGAGATCATATCTTTAGTGTGTCTTCTGCATGTTACAGGTACCAATACTTTTGGACACGTTGATGAGAATCCTAGATGGAGATGAAACTCACGTTCATCTGTTAACAGCTTCCAATCTCATCGGTGTTCCTTATATCCGGCAGTTGTTTGCCAAAACCAACATCTAGATGATATTGCCTTCTGAAGGCTAATGCTACTCTCTGGGTGGTATAAAACACTTTTAAGCATGATATACGTTTGATAACAATGTTAATTTCTGTGTCACAGTGAAATCACATATAACAGTATATAGATATTCTTTGATGATAGCAAGTATCAAAAGCAATAAATACAGCATTTACTGAATATTAAACTTCATATTTCATACATGGTCATTCCACATACATACTTCCACTTCTATGTGTGTATGTACAAGAGTTTGATATAATTTCAAGGAATTTGTAACAAATACTTATATAGTTATTTTGAAATGGTATTTAAATAAACTAAATTCCATCACTATTTATAAGCACTGTTGATAGTAATACTTGCTCCCATGGTCCCACTCTTTAACTATCGTCCGGATCAATGGCAGAGGTGAAGACAAACTAGTTTTAGTCTACTATCCTCTTGCCACTTCCAAAAATAACGAACACCAGCCATCCGAAAAACATGATGACGCACGTGGAGTTGAAGATCAGCTCCCAGCTCTGCGTTGTGTCGAGCAGGTAGCCAGCGATGTAGACGCCGATGAAGCCGGGGATGGCCGCTCCCATGTTCATCACCCCAAACACAGAGCCGGCGTACTTGGGAGCGATGTCGTGCGGGTTGCACATGATGCCGCTGTTGTGAAAGCCGAGCAGCGCCATCGAGCCGGTGATGCAGACGAGGGCGCTAGTGTAGCCGCTCACGTGACTCAGCGACATGAGAAACGCCATTGATCCGATCGTACCGATTGTCTCCATCAGCTTGCGTGTGAACGCCACCGAGCATCCCGACTTGAGCAGCCTGTCGGCCAGCCAGCCGGCGAAGATGATGCACAGCACCTTGACCAGCCAGGGCAACACGTTGAACACCCAGCCGTTGCCCTCGGGAAAGCGTTCGTGGAAGTAGGTGGGAATCCACGAGTACACCATGAAGAAGCAGTACGCCTGGCAGAAGTGTCCGACTACGATCGACCAGAACGCTGGAGAGCGGAACAGCTTGAGCCATGGCACCAGCACCTCCTGCTTTGTTGTCTGCTTCTCAGAGAGGACGCTCGCCTCCAGCGAGAGCACACGTGCCTTCTCCCTCTCCCTGTGCACGAGAACACGCATAAAGATGGCCCAGCCGACTCCGCACAGCCCCATGAGGTGGAACACGGCCTGCCAACTGAAGTGATGCAGAGCGAACGAACCAACACTGCCCGCCAGAATGGTGCCCATGTGTGAGCCCGACATTAGGAATGTGAACACCCATGTTCGTTCTTTCTCCGACACCTTGGCCGCGGTGAGACTGCTTACGCTTGGAAAGTGCATACCCTGAGCTGCTCCAATAACAACACGGGATAGGACTAGTATGACAAAGCGTACACTGCTATTTGAATTTAGCTGCACTAGGTAAGGAGTCCAGAAGGTAACAAGAGACCACACGAGTGCTGCTGCTAGTATAACTTTGTCTCCGCCTAGTCTGTCACTGATATACCCACCCAGGACCTGTGTCATGGAATAACCCCAGAAGAACGAAGCGAGTATTGTTCCGGTGTCCGTCTTGGACCAGCTGTATTCCTCCTCTATTTCAACGACGCAGAGTGGCATCGCCGAGCGACAGCAGTAGACTGCTGCAGAACCTGTGAACAGGCATGCCGTCCACAGCTGCCTCTCCCTGCGGTTCCAGTAGCGCACCTCCGTGCTCGGATCTAGCTTCATGTTGAGTACTCTATGACACTCATTGTTTGGTGCCATCTATGGATAGAAACGATATGTAATTAAAACATCTAATAAAAGTAATATTAGTCGTCGGTCAAAGATCTGAAACGGCATCAAACATTCAGCATACACGGTGCACATGTCCGTACATGGTCATGATGATGTAACATCATCTGATGTTAGTCACACAGTATTGTGTACTATATGCTACATCATGAATATCTCGCTTCTGCGCAAAAAATATCATAAGTTCATATACCACATTCACGACTCTTCACTGCAGTATGTCACATCAAACCCGTATCTTGGAGTTCACCTAGACAGTGGCCTCAGGTGGAACGTCCACATTGACAACATATGTGTGAAGGCCAACAGATTGTTAGGCCCGAAATCTGGGCTGCAGCCATCAGC